GGGGGGGGGGGGGGGGGGGGGGGGGGGGGGGGGGGGGGGGGGGGGGGGGGGGGGGGGGTCGGTGTTGGGTGGAGCGGGGGAGGTCGGCGTTCTTTCGGTTCTCGTTTGTGCTTGGCATTTGCAGATGTTGAGGGATTTCGCGGCTGTTATGGGGTGGATACCCTTTGGCGAATCCGGGGAGGGGAGGGGAAGGGAGAGGAAACAGGAGGCCTTTCGCCCTTAGGGGGCTCAGGTAACACTGTTTTACTATAGAAAACTGGTTTTACCGATTTTAGCAGCTATTTTACCGGTTTTTTGCATGAAGTCCGCTCGTTTTTTCGGTAAATGCTCGCTTTGTGAAAGAATGACAAATGCAAATTTTTTGAAATAATGCAAATTCCCACTCCACTGAAAAGTGAAAGTATTGCTCGAGCAGTCGTTTGACAAAAAAACCGTGTGTGCAATTGCATATACGATTGGGTTCAGGTCCGAGTCATTTACATATACGATTGGGTTCAGTCCCGAGTTGCGATGACTTTTGAGTTCAGGAACTGCTTGAGGCTGTGGTTGGGGTGCTCGACAGCCGAGTTTTTTTCGCACGTGCATAGTGAATATCCCTGCAATGTTTTAGCTTTCTACCTTGCCTGGTTCGCGAAATTGTTTCCCGCCAAAGACATTTGCATATTTTTTTTTCAGGGACCTGTACCTGGGGTCTAGGCTTGTGTGAGTCGGAATTTTAAAACGGAAGGATGAAACACGGAGTAGGAACATATATTCAAAATTTCAGTCTCCCAGGTTTCTTGGTTGCTAAGATGAAAATGGGTGACAAAGTTCACTCGCTTCTGAACACACACAGGCGACCTCTAGACAATATGCGTTTTTTGCTGGCTGTAGCAGCGTTATAGTGCTGCTATAACACTGCATAGAAAAAACGCATAAAAACGCATTTGTATACTGATGTAAACGCTGTAGCCAAACAAGACAAAATCCCCTCCGTGTTCGTCTTTTTTCAAAAACGGAGGTACTTAGAAAGCAGCCCGAGTGGTAGAAAATACCAAATGCAGTCAATCCCTAGGACGACTACCGATGAGTCTTCATCCGAGAGCAGTTTACAAGCAAGCTGACGGTAGATTTGAATTCTGGCATAACCGGAGCAATTTACCACCAAAACGAATTACAACTGTAGAAGTTGTCCCATACGTGAATTCGGACCCCAATCTCCCCCGGACCATGCCGGCTGTATTTAGACATGTAGCAGGCATGGCTCAGTGGTAAGAAACGCTGCTATCACGCAGAAAGTTAAGGATCCCAATCGACTTTTTTGGGTAACATGCAAAAAAGCAAGAAAGTTAAGGAGCTGAAATTTGGTGGAAGTAGACCGAGATAACCAACTTGCAAAATAAAATTTCTGCAACAAAATTTCTGAACTATAAAAGCTTTCTTTGGAAAAATAATTGACCGATTCAAAGAATGTGCGCAGGAATTTGATTAATTAAGCAGCGATAAAACAATGTTCAGAGAAATGAGCGCGCGGCTCAAATTTAGCATTTTTTGACCAAATGTATTTTCATGTGCAAAAATAAACTTAGTTTTTACGCCAATTTAGTGTTTAAATTTAATGTTTTTCAGCTTGGCCAAGCTCACATCTTCAAGCCTAATTTTGATTGAATTTAGCGTTTTTTAAGCAAATATCCCTTCTACTGCAGTCAATTTAATGCCTCTCTTGTGCCTTCACTTTCCAAACAAAAAACAAAAGAACGACCCAGTAGTACAGCTGGAAGTAAGGAATGGAACTTACTTCGGTGTTTCATGAGGCGATCGAAAGACACTCCCCAGGCAGATACTTCCTCGAATGTTGCTCTGCAATGAAAGTTTTGAATGAACCAAGAATGACAGTGTTATGCTTGCGTCATTTTCTCAGTGCTCTCGGGCGCTTATCGTGTGGCATCCAGAAATCCAAGCTACTCGAGGGAGAACTAGCGTGAGCGCACACTAACACAAATGCTCAAGGAGGTGATCAAATTTGGCTTAAAGGTTTCAGAGTGACACTGTTATTCCAGGCGATTTGGTGGTGAAAAGCGCTCTTCGGCTGTGCCATTGTGATGCTGGAAAGTTTAGATAATAGCTGAAATGGGCAGTAGGTGGGTAAATAATAGGCAGTCAACGAATCATGAGGGAGCAAGAGGGCACTTGGATTACGCAACTCACCGAGCTAAGTCATTTCTGCGCCGATGAGTACAATAGCAAACAGTTGTCACCTAGCTCGAGCACCACAGCTGATCGCCACTCTCTCTTTATTCAGAAGTGAAGGGATCGAGCTGAACGAAAACAGTACTACGGAAGAAATAAAACTGCGTCAACCAGCAGAACCAGCACTATGAATAAAGGCTTCCCTTGGCTTCTTTTTTGAGAGAGCTCTAAAATTACAAAAAGCTCTGATTCACATAGATCTTTATGAAAAAGAAATGATAGGGTTGCAGTGATTCAAGAAAGAACAAAATACGAGCGTATTCGGAAAAGAGCCATGATTTGGTTGTCTCTATTTTCGACCTTCCCGAACCGAATTGTGGAAACACCGAATATTCATTTTAAAAATCCTGAACAATGCGAAATATGAACAATTCAACATTTTCGGGGATAAAGAAGAATTAGCCTCAGAAGTATAAAATCAGACTAGAAGCAAATGTTCCGGAATGAGCTAAAAATATGGACTCCATTCAGAACTCCTTTAACTATGCTCCGTGACTGAGAAGAATAAAAGTGACAGCCAGCAATAATCGTGAGAACGAAAAGTGCAGCCTGGAACACTTCAGGATAACTGTATAACAATAAAGTGGGGATTCCTCATTAGCAGAAAGTCTTCACCAAATGTCTGCCAGCTTCCGCTATCATACGCTTGCTTCCTTCACCTCAAAAGTCGAGGGTAATTTGTGAACAGCTAAAGTTACTTTCCGTCCTGATTCATTTAAGTACTATAATTCAGGAAGACAAAAATGTGAGTAAGCGACTCGCATTCTAATGAGCTGAAGGTTGTCAAAAAACGCGTAAAAAATGCGCCCGGCGTTTAGGAGCAACCCAATAACATCACTAGCTCGGGTCTTGTCTTTTCTAACTTCACCACTTTTTCAAGCGGTTTCCACTCACAAATATTGACTTTCGAGCAAGATGTGGCAAGGCATTTATCGGTGAAGGAAATCGGTTTGTTTTCGCGATTTCGCTCGGTAAATATAATATTCGTGAAAATTCTCATTGCTGATCTGAAAACTGTCAAGACCTTTTTTAGCAATCTGAGAAGCAGCCCTAATACGTGTAGACCCGATCTTTGGCTACCTTCGGTCATTTGGTCAGACATTATCATCAATTTGCTGAATGTACAAGAAAGGAATTTGTTGTGCTTACTTATCATCGATATCGATAGTTGACGATTGCCCGACATTCAAGCCATCACTGTTGTGCACTGCCAGGCTAAATAATAAAATATCAACAATAATCAGAAAATAACTAAAGTAATCTACAACAGGGGCAAAAAGCCAGTTGAGGCAGTAGTAGTAGTGATAATACTGAAGCATTGCTATCACACCCGACAATTCATCATCATGATTCTTGGATTTCGGGACAAAGCAGTACAGCAAAACTAAATGCATAATCCCTTCCCTCGGCTTTCCCGCCTCTCCCAGTCATTGTGTCAGTTGTCATGCTTATTATTGTTTATTTCCCCATTTCTCCACACTTAATGTTCCATTCATTGTTGTCCAAGATGAGGCAAATGAGTCACAATCTAGCTACGCCTGCTAATTTCCTCGGAATTGGCGATTTTCTTGGATAGCCTCCATTTCTCGAAACTGTTTTTGATGGCTACTGTTCCGGCACAGTACCAATAAGCTGGATACAGCCGTGTCATGTGTCATTACGTCGAAATTTTATACTAAAACATAATATATTGAAACACGATTAAAAACTTCGTGAAAAGAGAAGTATTTGTTAGCCTATTTGAGTTCCCCCTAGAAGCATACCAATGCAGATTT